GTGGTAGTGGCAGTGGCAGTGGAAGTAGTAGCAATAGTGGTGGTGGTAGTAGTAGTAGTAGTAGCAGCAGCAGCAGCAGTAGTAGTAGTAGGCCATCGTTAGCCAGCACATCCAATGATCTAGATCTGGCAACGTCGACTCTAACGACGGTTACGAGAAACTTACGCGGAACTTTCCGCCCCTCGCTCGACCGGAACCTGATTTCGGCACCTCGCTGAAGCCTGCCGCAGCATTGCGCACTATCGGGCTTGGGACATGTACGCCACACGTCTGCAGAATGGTGGCATGCTCTCTATTCATTTTGTATGCTGCGAGTTTATTGTATAAAGCCTTCGCGGATCCTTCGCGGATTTGTTGAGGCCTTTCGCGGAACCGTCCCGAAATCTGCGTAACATCGACGACAAGGACCTTCAGATCAACGCTCACATAACTACCTCGCAGCAGGTGTACTCCGAGCGGCCGAAGTCGCATTGCCGAAACCCAACTCTGTGAAGGGGTCGCCCACCTGCATCTGCCGCAACGGCGTTTCCAGACAAGCCCGGGCAAAGTCTGCGGTGAGGCCGGCGAAAGATCCCTTAGCTTGACTAGCTGAGTCAGCAATGAATCGATCGACGACCGTCTTCATGAAGCCAGTGGATTCCTGCGACAAGTTTGCAGCCATGTTGTTGGCTGAAGCTTGCAGCGCTGCCTTCGCAGCCTCTTTCGCCTGCAAAGCGGCTCTCATGGCAGCCGACTCTTGCTGCGATGGCGCTCCTCTGAGAATGAGCTGTATACGCGTCCGGACACCCGTGGCTTGAAGCTCAGCCAAGGACTCATTCGTCGCCGTCTCAACACAGAAACGAGGAGTCCGCGGGAGCGGCGTGAACATGCCGAAATCAGGTATCTCCACCTGCCCCCATGGCCCTTCGGCTGAGGTAATTCGGTATACGGGGTTCTCGACTTTAAAGGGCTTCGTCTCTAGAACCACCTGTGCGTTTGGCCCATCAGGCTGAAACAGCAGCTTGTAGGTCCCACTCATGGCTCGCGTGATGGTCAATGGGAATGAGATGATACCGTTCGGCTTGCTCACACGAACAGTCGTCGTCGGATCCAGTTCCACGTTGCTGTCAGTCAGCACTTCCAACCTCCTGCCACTCTGCACCAAGGACTGTAGAAGTCCCGGAGATGTGCTACCGGGAGAGGTGGCGGCCAGCTTCTGGATACCTGCACGGACCCTGACATCCCGTACTGGAGCGCCACTCGCCGTCGTGACTCTCAGCCGCACCAGGAACACGTTGCCCACGATTGCAATCTCGGGCGGGACCAATGCGAGGAAAAACTGGCTCGCCGTGGTTTCGGCCGCGATTTCTATCGTGGTTGAACTTTGCGTGTCTGTTAGCGTTTCCTGGACTGCTGAAGAACAGCTGTGGAACTTCTGGACATCTGACATGTTTTCAAAGCCTGGCGGCTTGCTTACGGAGTATCTGAAGTCCGAACCGGACAGGTCGGACACTTTCAATGAGATTCTGGCAGGTTGCGAAATACGTCTTAACCACCGGACTTTGAGAAAGGAGAATCGCATAACCAGAAAGGGCGTAGTTTGTATAATTACCAGGTCGGTGCACCGTCCCAAGGGCTCTCTCCACTGGACGAAGACACACACATGGTCACCGAGCATGCGCTGCGAAAGGTCTTGAGCTGCGCCTGCATCGTTCACACCCCTGCCACCTTCGCTTGACACCAGCAGCCGCACCAGCAGGCCGCCAAGAAACTGCGTGAACATCGACAGCCCTCCGAAGTTCGGCCGGACTTCCACCGTGATGCTGCCGCCGAACTCGTCGATACCGATGTTCAAGGGCCAGGTTGACCTCAAGAAGCGTTGAGACAAGCCAGTGCCCCTCCCCCCTGGTGTAAGCACACCGCCTCACCTCATGTCCTCCCATCCAGGCGCATCTGTTTGCAACGAAGCAGCGGGGGCTGGGCTACAATTTGGAAGGAGTAAGGTGTGGAAAGACAGATCGGTTGTGAGGGCAAGGGCTCTGTCGAAACCCCCTCCGCTATGAATCTCATTCCTTGGCGAACAGGCGAACATGGGCATGCAAGCACGACTGTATTGAGGTAGTGCACCCTGCTCCGGCAACAATTGAAAAGGCAACTTTGAATAGCCGACAACACTAATCCACGTCTGAGTCTAGGTGTATCGGTTGCCCCTTTGCCGGTAGCGCACGATGGCCTAGTTCACACATCCACCCCTGAAAAACAGACTTGATGCTGTCCGACTTTCTGCTGAGCACGGTGGAAATGCTTGTCTAAACTTCATGTCACTGCTGGCAGTGCCTTCAGCAGGCATCCAAAGACATGAGAAGCTGGAAGAAGCTTGCCACCAGGCTTCGCGTGCATCCTTTTCCGTCCACAATACCGATAATGGGGAAATACGCAACTCCATCTTGTGCCGGACGGACTCAGGGGTGCTCATGCACTGGCCAGACAGCAAGGCTTCAACATGCAGCTACCACGCCAGAACCAGAAGAAAGCTCGTACTGCTCACAAAATTCAGCTCCCTTCTGGCCTTGCCCAAATGCATCAGTTATCTCTGATCCGGATGAGCCGGAGTACAAGAACGGAAACGTCGAATACATGGGCATCACTGTCAACTTCCTTGGGTCTGTCACATTTCCAGTCTCAAGTAAGTTGTCAACTTGGCTAGGGTTCTGCCCTGATCCAAGTCGAAGTGGCGTGAATTCTCCCCCATCCACGGGCACTAGGTCATAGCTCAAGATCAGACCTCGAATTGCACACAACTACTCCCGAGAGAAAGACCTTGCACATAGGTCGGCAAGGCTGCGCATAGCCGGGGCTCACTGAACTGTTGTGGCATCTCTGCCGTGCAATTAAAGCAAGGGGCCGTTCACAGGACCTTCGTCGCTTAGCACTCTGACGATAGGAATTTGATCCATCAAATTGCCTGCGACAGGACAGTGCGATCTCATGCTTTCCATCGTGTTTGGCATATGCGCTGAATCGTGCGACACACTTGGATAATCTCGCGTTACACGCCGTGCCTGTCCAGGGCGGAACGAGCACAAAGGCTGGGTCCTAAGTTTCCGCAGGACAGGAGGTTTGACATGAGCATCGATACACTTTATCATTCAGGGACCATGCGCTCAATTGCTGGACTGCCGCCGGAAGTCTTGCACCATTTCCAAACGAAGACCAGGTGGAGGAAGAACCCTGCAAGTGGTGGCTACCGTGACCCGTCCGAAGCAAGCCAGGTGCGGCTGCGACATGTAGCGAGCTTGCGGGCCTCCATGTGAAGACTCTGCTGTTCACTCCAAAGCCTCGGAACCTGAGAGAGTCAAGAACCGCAAAGCACGTCGGTCTGCGGACTGTCCTTTGGCCGAGGCACTGGATGCCAAAATTTCCGTAGATCCCCTTCCTGGGGCACATGCCGCACGGAAAGGGCAATTCTGAAACTTGGCAGGCTTGAGCGAGACAAGTCTCTGATTCATTTGCATGCGAAGATGGAGCTTCCCGGTGGTTGCATCGTATCCCTGCGCATTGGTTGCTCCTGTTCTTTGGACCTGCACGACATTTTCCGATCACAGCACACACTCAACTTTAGGAAGCCGGAAGTACTGATGAAGCAAGAAGCTGCAGAGATCGTGTAGTACTCCGTGCTCAGAGGGTGCGCTTCCGGGATGTTGTCTGTCATGCCTCGCTGTCGCTCTAAGCTTTACTTCACAAAAATACAGATCTCGGAGCTCCAACTCGAGGCCCGGAGAGCAAAGCCAGGAAAGCTGCGAAGCCAAGAGGCCTAGTGGCCGATGGAAGTTGTAAGGCGCCTCCACCAGGACGAAACTCATCGCACACCTTAAAGCGCAGTCATGTCCCGAACATCGATGGAACATGATGGAATGGGTGGCGAGTAGCTGCTGTCCCCCTTCGACGTTTTGCGTGCCTGCAGCACGAAGTAGCAAGCCTTCTTGCCAAGACACATCCGACAGTTCGGAGGTCCAAGACAAGTCCCTTTTGCGCCGGGGATCTCTGTAACCCCAGCTCAGACCCCTTTTCAGTATGTACTTACACTAGATTGTGTGCCAGCGAACAGTCCCTTACAGCAGAGCCTTCTCGTTCTCGCCTCCCGCGAGGCATGCAACCGAGGGAGCGACGGAAACACTTACAAATCTGGACCTGGAACGAAGGAGAGAGTCGTCAAGTCGGGTACAAGATCTGTTGATGAACCTACAGCGCTCACAACGATAGAGGGAGAAGCTGCAGCGCCCACAGAGCTTCCGATGCAGGATTGTAATCTCCGGAATGTTGCTGTCAAGTGATTGCGGGCACTCCAAACCGGAGCATGCACTTGTAGCCGAGTGCTGTATTTTGCGATCCTGACATCACGCCCCTTGGTTCTGTTTTTGTATATTCCGAAGAGTTACCGACAGTCAACAAAAACTTGGAGGGAGTGGAAGCTCCTTTCATCGCTGCCCCTGACGAAGTTGCTAGGGACATATTAATCGAGCTGGCACAAGCGATCCTGAACCACAAACAAGGCGGACAAATTCAGACACCAGGAAAAGCAACGAGAAAACTCTGGGAAACAGCAAAGACGGATTCAGGCAGACTGGCTAAACAGTCAGGACAGCAACACCACCAAGCTCTTCGAGGTTTTTGTGATTTCTCTACATGATTCTACTTTTCTAGACTCCCACTGCAAAAGTTAAAGCAACTGTCCGGAGCCTGGTGCGACAAAGCGGCAAATCCCAGCGATCAGCTGACAGGAAGATGCAATTCGGGATGCGGCTGAGGTCAGAAGCGTCACCCACGGATGCATCGAGGATGAAGCCTCTGCTACAAATAGTGCCCACAGGAGCTCGGCCAGTAAAAAAATACAGGGACGCTTGGGCAGGTCTGGAGTCATGGCTAGGGGCTGAGATCGATGTCCACGTAGGAACCCGATTGGATGACGTGCTCCTCAAAAGACAGCACGTGGGCAAGGGGACAGAGTGCTGCTGCAATTTGTGCTGCATGCAAGGCTCGTAGTATGCACCAGGGCCAGCATCTCCTTCCAGGACAATGTCCCCAATGACATTCTGAATGCGCAGCGGGACCTCGGTCCATGTTCACGACGCGGACCGACTCCAAAATTTGGAGCATTCCATTCCAAATCAGAGTTCGCAGCCTACGGCACTTCCTGGCATTTGCTGCCAGGCGGCCGGCGAAGAATAGCATTCCTGCTTGTGGCCTTGATAATCGTCGAGCTGCACCACCATCCTGGGCTTGGTCGGCTTGGTCGGCTTGCCGGCCGCAAGACTAGAACTTTGGCCGGGAGACCGCAGGAAGTGGTCTCCGGAGCCGGCTTCGAACTGCGAGGCAAAGGTGATGTAATTCGGGTCGTCGTTGTACTGCCTGTGACTCCGGAGCTGCAGACCGGAGACTTGGGTTTCAGGGGGGGCAGGGTTGCAGGTAGGCGCCTCAGCGTCTGCGGCACTGGCTTTGGAAGGATGGCGGTGCCCAGGTGGTCCAGGCTCGAAACTTTGATCATCGGCCGGGGCTCCTCAAGCTCTTCAAGGCAGAGCGCCCTTGGAACTTCCAGTGGATTCCAGTGCATCCAAGGGTCGTGCCGCACCTCAGCCCGAAACCGACCAGTTAAACTGCACGAATGCACAACTTGCACAACTGACCACGTCACCACTCTCTGAGACCTGGACAAATCCGAACCTGTCGCCATCCTGAGTCTCGAGCAAGAGGCCCACAGCCCGCAGCCTAACCACCCAACGAGGCTTTGGCCTTGGCCCACCTCAATTTTTGTGACGCTCACACTCGGCCGAGCAGGCTGAATGTATGCCAGGGATAGCCAGGGCAGGCTTGGCCCGAGCCTCAAGAACCACTCCTCGCACCACACTGCGACACACCCCCGAATCTGTCCGGAACTGCGGCGGGAGCACGATTTTTTGGGGGGTGGGGGGGCAACAGACCAAGGAGCCGAGGAGGCGAACAGCGTCCTAGCCTTGCTCGGACTTTAGGGACTCGAGCGATTTGAAAGCAGCACGCCCGGGACGGCACTCCATTTTAAGATGAGACAATCGAGCCGGGGCAGCTAACCACTTATCCTCTTCACACTCCTTTTTAGGGGGATGAGACTCACTGCGACTTCCTCAACTCGGCCAGAGCCACGACGCGCTTCTCTTCTGCAGCCATGGGTCGTTGCTGTATGCATCCTCCACCCTGAGATGGCTTGGTGTTTCAACACATCTCAGCCCACTACCATGCACCGCAGCTGGTCCCAGCGACTGCTGTCATTCAAGTGTGATGTTCATTTGCCCTGCGGACGTGAGCGCAGTGTCTCTCTTGCATACAGGCAAGGCACAACATGTTGATGGCACCATCAGCCCCAGAGCTGAGCTTTCGCGATTTGGCTTCCGAGGATTCGACCGCCCCGGCGAACGTTCGGAGTCCTTGGCTTCTGAACTTCTTCTGGCATGACACTCCGACCTAAGCTACAAGTAGCATAACAGCTCCACCAGCGGTCCGTCGAGTCACTCCGCGCAACTTCAGCATGCAACTCCTGCTCATTCTTACGGGAAGGTAAGCCTATGCTCATTTATGCTTATGCCGCAATGCGCCGTTGGAGGCCCGCTTCACATGCTTCAAGCACAAGGCGATCCTTCACCTCATTGGCCTCGGCCCCAAGGCGACGTTCATCCCCAACGCCAGAGATGTCGAAGCAGGAGCTGGTGTTCGGCGCTGAGATTCCAGGGAAATTGACCTGAGCTTCCAAGGATCGCGGCCCAAGCATTTTCTCCTGACTTGCCTTTAGGTCAGGAAAACCCGCGTCATTCAGATCTGCACAGCTCAAGATCGTGGGCGGCGGGGGATTTGCTTGTGAGGAATTCGGTCCTGCTCCTACAGTTGTGACTTCCTTTTCGTGGCAAACCTTGTAGATGCTGCGAACAGCTTCTTAGTGATTTCGGAGTGTTTTCCGATTGAGTCTACCTAGCTCCTTGGCAGCCTTCTGTTTCAGGCGAGCTCCGGTGCAAGCGTGTTGGAAGGCTGTCTGTTTTGAGCTGGCTAGGTTGCAAGTCTTGTGTAAAGCTGTCTGATTCGGTTTGGCGCTACCACGACAAATGGGTGTTGTTCAATATTCCTCTGTCCTAAGTTTAGCCCTTTGTCCGCGGTTGTGCGGACCTTGCGCGCCCTGCGCACGCGCACAAACATGCAAAAATGCAATCGCATGACACGAAACTACCGGACTACTGCTTGTACAACTGATGGCTATGTTTCATCATGCTTTGACACAACGCTGCATGGTGGCAGTAGCAGTAGCAGTAGTAGCAGTAGCAGCAGCAGCAGCAGCAGCAGCAGCTGGTGGTGGTGGTGGTGGTGGTGGTGGTGGCGGTGGCGGCGGTGGTCGTAGGGACACTGGTTGAAAGGCTGACCGTCAGGTGCCAAACACATCCCCGAGTGCAGAGTGGGCCAAGACCTTCAAATCGCTGTGCGTGCTTGCGCGCAGCTTGCGTGCGCCTTTCGCCAAGTTCGGCCTGTGTGTTGAAATTTTGGAGTGGTACTACGTACTTACCAAGCAGCTGTTGCGTGACAGTCTTTCCTAAATGTCCGTATTATGCAGACCCGGACGTCCTTAGCTTTAGACCTTGCGCTTCCCTTGGTCCGCGCTTGCACGCACCTTGCACGCGCGGCCTTTTGGCCTCCTTTATCATGTTAAGATTCAGCGCCTGATACAAAACAAAGCAAGGGTTTTCCGCCGCAGCTCAAATATTGACAGATCCGGCCGAGCTGCACAAGTCGCCTGGCCCTGCAACCTGATAGAAGTGAAGAAGATATCGCCAGACGCTGCGATCTTGGTTAGCTGTGCAGCTACGGGATGTGCTGCTTCTAGCAGATTCTAGCATACCAAGCAGACCATCACGAAGCGACTTACATGAACAAGCCTTGACACTTCTTGCTCCTGTGGCCTGGTTCGGGGTTCAAAAGCCTACATGTCTTGCATGATCCATGAGGCGGAGCCCAAACTCAAAGCCATGCAAAGAGCCAGCTGCAAGGCAAACCCTAACGCAAACTCGAAACCATAGACTCACAAGCCAAACGCACCAAATTCAAAGCGGGTGGCCCAAGGTGGCGTGCCGCTCAGATCAGTGTGCTGGCCGGTGGAAAGGCTGAAGATGGAGGCGAGTACAGGTACAATCTGGTGGCACTCCTGCACAAGAAGATCATGAACCCAGACAACCTACTGTGATAAGCACGATAAGTTCGAAGGGCTGCTGGCAACGGTGATGAGCATGGCGATGATGATCATGCTGACTCTGGCAATCAACATGAGACTTGTGAAGGCTGTGCAGACAGCGTATGACAGCACTACATGCGATCAACAACATCATGAACACAGACGAGCATGACGCAGTGAATAGTTTTCAGAACCAAGCACGAGCGATAGTGCTCATCACCATCTCTAAACTGAGTTGCCCCCAGGCATGTCTTCATGCCACCCATAATCGCTAAGTCGGTTCTTCTGAAACTTGCTGCGATTCTTTATGACAACGGCATTATCACAATGTCCCGGTCTGTTGCGACAAGCCTGTGCAGAACTTGCATCACAAGTTTGGAAACCACCCCAAACTGGCGGACCTCCTGCCACATGACCAGTCCCAGGAGAGTGTAGCTTGGCCATCTTACGAGCAAGGCATGGAAAATTTGCCCAGGCACCGGCGGGCCTCTGGTTGGAGTTTCCCGATCACCCTGCCCAGAAAGACTACAGAAACATCAAAGCAGTGACGCACCCGGGCATCGGCTGTCAGTTTGCCATGGAGGTGTGTGCTGAGCCTGGCCAATAAATCCTCGCTGTCTGGCGACTCAACCTTGGCTTCCCAGCTTAAGCCATCTTAAGCCCAAAGCACAGAACGAATAAAAAAAACCCAAGGTCAGATTCTGCCAATGCAGGCCGGCGAGCGCCATCGCAGGAAAAGCGGACTTTGAAGGTTACCTGGCCCGAGGTCTGAAACGCCGGTGCTGCCCAGACCGCCTGAAAGGCCACCACTGCCTTGGCCGCACAACGAGAAGCCTTAACCCTCGAAATATGCGACAGTTTTCGGACCGGTTGCAAAACCTTCCTCGTTTGTCATCTCTAGCGCGTCCGGGGCGAGCTCGACCACAGCGTCGCCTGCCAGGCAAGTGATGCTCCAGCGATGTTCCAATTCTCACCTCCCCCACGTCGTCGAGATGCTGCCGCAACTGCGGCCCCGGATTGCTGTTGAGGACCAACTTGTCCGGTTCCGGCTTAGGACACAGAGGTTTCGTAGCTTAGGTGAGCTTTACACAGTCGCACACATCGTGAGTCGTTGCGGCTGAAGGAATTACTCGGCAAGTGCGTGCCTACGTTTTTGGTTCTATAGCTGTGCTTGCTGAGGTGTTCAGTCTGTGCACGGGCTGACATACTGCATTTAGACAGCACGATGTTCAACTACCCGTCGGATTTATCTTCTCGAATTTTTATTGTGTCGAAGGATGTCGGCTGGCCAAAAACCTCTGAAGCACCTAGCGAAACATTGTGTTAGCAAAAATGCGTGCTACTGCTCCGCCTTGTGAATCAAGCGAACACATCAGAGCAGCCTGCATCATTCTGCACGTTGAGAGACTTTCCCGCCACGCCATTCCTGGGCATGGCGACTCGCGCTTCAGTCGTCGCGGGCTGCCATGGAGTTGAGGCACGACGCATACTTCACCAGCTCTGCAATATTGCAAGACCGAACGTAAACGCAGCGCAAAGCCAATGCAAGGGCAGGTGTCCCGTTGGCGTCAAGCACACGGACCACTGCCAAAAATGTGTCCGTTCCATTCGCGGCCGGCTCCACACCGTAGCCTGAGCCGCAATGCAAAGCGATCGCACGTTTGCTTCTCATGTGCGTAATGATCACAACTTCTCAATGGCGTGGACAGGCAATTTTAGTCATCATGCTTTGTTTGCCCCCAAAGGCGCCATGTCATCAACATGAGTCTACTTGCGAGCTGGAGAAACCTCCCGATTTCTGGTCCTAAACCACGTGCATCACAGGACTTTCCTGCCACCACATGGCTGTTCCTCGATGTTCGCTGTTTTGCAAGCAAAGCTTCGCCCCAGCTCCGCGTCTTTGCGGATGAAGCGCTGGATCCTTGCGCACAGTCCAGGGCAGCCACATGAGCTCACAAAGCCGTTGCCGACCCTTGGACCTGCAACCGCAAACTGCTTGTGCGCAGACAAGTCCTGATTTGCGCGACCGTCGTGACAACCTGCATTCTGAAAACAGTCCGCAAGCATCTCTGCCGCCCGATTTGGCCCTGCTACATCACACTCTCCGCTTTCGAAGTGGCAGGCACACTTAATTAGCTGCGCAAAATGAAACCCAATTCGGCAAGTGACACATTTCCCAATCTTGTGGTGGTGGAAACCTACTCAGGAAAACAACCGGAGCTGCAAGCCTTGGTAAGTCCTCCCAACCGAAACACCGTCAGAGTCAGCTCGAGCACTACGCCTCCGTGATGTAACCACCGGAATTCACGCTCCAGGCATGTGATTCCTCATGCATCTCTCTGCGGCTGAGCAATCACGCCGTCTCTCTGCTAGCGCTCCGGTGACGTTGCACGGCGCATTGCCACGTTTGCGTCGAATCGAACAGTGCGTCCTGCATCTTTCCATCGCAGTTGAAGTCGATCGAGTAGTGCCAGCTAGGCAGAGCCTAGTCAGGCGACTCACTTTCTGCAGCAGCCTACAAGTACCTGCATATCCTACAGCACGCGCTCAACACAGTGCGCAAAAGAGACAACGCCTTAGACAGGGAAAAGGTCAAGCAGCTGCAAGTGTTACATGGACTGCGGTGCAACATGCTAGCCGCGGCATGATATTCGGCAAGTCGGCGTTGCTTTCTGAACTCAGAACGAGTTGCCCAACTGCCGTCCAAGTCGAGACTTCGAGTGTTTCCATAAGTCGACCTCCGAGAGACAGCTTGGCCTTTACATCGCACAACCACCTAAACACGCAGATACTCGACTCCAGACAGACTAGTGTTGGAAAGGCAACAAAGAAGTGGAATACTGCCCGCATCGAAGCTTCATGCACGGGCGAGTGGCAGCTTGAGCTCACGAAACCTCAAACACATGACTCTTGCTTTTGAGGTCGAGCAATACGGCAATGACAAGACTAGTGCCAGCATAAGTTGAACGGTGAAAGGACTGACACATGCAGCTGACAATACTGAAGCAAGCTGCTGCGCCATCCCACTGGCATCTGTTACGGCTTCCGCGTTCAATAGCTCCTCGCCAACGGGACAGACACTTTTGGTCCCTGAAACTGTTTGCTCTTGGGCTGAAGCATCCCTTCAAAAGCACGATGGCGGGCCTTCCCCTTGAAACCTTTGAGTTTGCGGCGAAACCAGTTGGGATTCCGCAGCGATCCCTCCATCGACAACAGGGCCTGGGGGCAAGCCACAGTTTGCAGTCCAGTGGCATATGCTGGCATGTCGAAGACTGGCGAGCACTGTGGGATCCCGCACATGCGGAATTCACAAGCAGCCTTGACCGAACAAACATGATAAAACTGCCCAGGCACGTAGCATCTCACCTTGGCACACGTTAAATCAGCGATTAGGTAAACATGTACAAGGAGGAAGCTGCCAAGTAGCCCCGGGCACAGGCTGCCCGTTTTCATCTCGCACCGCTACCACCGGTTGTGGCTGGAATCTGCAGCAGGAGCAAGCTTTGTCGGTCACGTCTCGACTTCTCTCCACTGTCGACATGCTACTCAATCTACATTGGCACCTGAGTTTTGACGTCCCAGCTTCCCACCTTCCTCTTGGAGGCTGGGCCTAATCCTGGTCTAGAGATACTTGCGCAGGTGCCGATCCCGACTGCTGCTTGAGGCGTAACGACCGGTATGAAAAGGGTATGAAACCCATGGGACAAAGTGGCCAAGTACAGATGCAGATTCGATCACTCGTAATGCATGCCACGTGCTGTCCATGCTGCAAAGATGCGGAACTCCTTCCGTCACGACTAACAGGACCCTTAGATTCGCTTGAATGTTGCGTACTTGCGCACTTTCCAAACAAAAGCTCGGGAGGAAAAAGATCAGACATGGGATCTAATTGCTGATGTCAAGCGTCTTCGTTGAAACCTGGCGAAACTTCGAATGTCGAGATGCCCGCGCTCCAAACTACTTCCCCAAAACAAAGGCATACAGGCCTGCACAGAAGAAACCCTTGGTGACAGAGAGATTGGGTAGCGGAACTTCTGGACCGGCAGAGGATAAAGGTTCCTGCAAAATGTCCAATTTTTATTTACGCGCTCGGACAGGTCTGGAAGCATGCATCGCATCGTTTTCCTTGGAGAATAGACGGGGTCATTCCAGGGACTGAAAACGAGCGCACTGTCAGAGAACACGATGTTCACGTGGTCCACCTGCAAAGAGCAGTTGCCAGGCTTTTCCCGATGCATCCAGAGTGCAGCAACAGCAGTGCATCCTAGGCGCGCTGGTGCTGTTTACACCCAGGCATGTGAATCTTGCCTGAAGGGGGCGGTGTCCAGGCATCCTAGCTACCTAGCTAAACCGCTGGACTCTGAGCCCGCAGCGATGCCACTTGCATCTGAAGGCTCCGACTGGGGGCAATTCCTTTTTTGTGCATTGGTGCTGATGGAAAAATTCTCGCGCAAATGAACAACCGATGGTCAAAACGCTAAGAACAGCAGCATAAACTGCGCACTTGGTGGGCTAATGACGACCAATGCATGTGCCGGTGAGTAGCTACATGCCTGCACGTTCATACTACTTTCGCCTCTGTCTGCCACGAGCCTTGCGCCGCGCACGTGCAGCTTCCGGTGCGATGACTTAGATTTAGATCTTTCGACACTGTGGAAAGCGAGGATGTCAGCGCTGCCGACCCGGCTTTACATACCAACCCGGTGCTTCTGAACCCACCCCAGTCACTGAATCGCTGCACCGAGCAAAGGAATAGTGTTGGAAGATGCTTCCGAAATCGACAACATCATACAGAATTTTGATATTCACATCCTCTTCCGTGCTTTACACTCGCTTGCTGAATTTCTGTCTTTGTATCGCGGGTATGCGGTTTCTGCTTCCTCCGACACTGCAGCGATTCCCCTCCAGCACTATCTTTCACTGCATTCACTGCTACCCGCTGCCAGCCCGCGCACCAGGCGCTGAAAGCACAACCCGTCATCACGGTTGAAAGACCGTATTTCCGATGAGAACACATACGCTCGAGGAAACTACTACATGCGCGTCTTCTTGCTGTTTGCCCGGGGACGAAATAGCACAACCATGCACAACCCTTCTGCCAATCCTTCAGCCCATCGCTAAAATATCGCATATTTCGAAGTCTTCGATCCTGTCTGTTGCGCGACCTACTGCTCCACCAGCCTTCAATCGAGAAGGCTTGGCACTGAAACCCTGGAAGATTTCGGAAGCTGAGGGCGCAGGAAAGCCCTCCGAAGAGAGTAATGTTTCCGAGAAAACCAAGGCAGTAGGGTGGTAAACCCCCGCCCACTCCCATGCGTCATATCGCTGACCCAGGTCAACAGAGCACACTGTCATCGCCGAGCGTCAGCTCCACCACCTGTCGAGGCAAGTGGAGTCAGCCACCCCACGATGCTAATTAAATATATAGTTATTATAATTTAAAACTATATAATATAACATAATAAAATATAAAACAAAAGAATAGAATAGAATAGAATAGAATAGAATAGAATAGAATAGAATAGAATAGAATAGAATAGAATAGAATAGAATATAGTGTAATATAATACAATATAGTATTTTTAAAAATAATATAAAAATATATAGTATAATATGATATGGCACTCTGGCGGCGCCTTCTGCCCTCGTCTTTCGTACTGCTCCACACGAGACGCATCCCCGTCCGGCGGCCACCCGGGATCGGGGTTCGCAAAGGCCACGATCTCAGATCCCAGATCCCAAGTCCCGGAAGGTGGTAGCACTGGCCAGTCTGAGGCCTTGGCCCTGCGACCTGGGGCTGGCAGCCCGTTCATGTCGCGAAGGAGCAGCGTGGGCTGCCAGGGGAACGGGTCTCCGACCTGGCCAGGCGCACGGGCCAGGAGGAGGGGGGCTGCGGCCCCGGTCCATTCGGTAAAGCCTTGACGCCGGTGGGCGGAACGACGGGGTCAAGGTCCGGCCTCGAGTTCAGCAGCCACAGGGAGGCCCTACGGCAAGGCCAAGAGATGCCAACCATGGCACGTGCTCAGGTTCACCACCTCGATGCTCGCAACAGGCGTGGAGACCAACACGGAAGAGCCCTGACAGGCAAAAAAAGAGAGACATCTGCTCACCGTTCCTCGGGTGCCAAAAGCCTCGGTAGAATCGAAGCCACCCGCAGATGGTACCAGCGTATACAAACCCGCAGGGCCCATGATCGCGAAGTCCGTCAGCGTGACAAGTCCCAAGTCATTGGTTGGACCTCGGCCCATCATGACCGGCTTCAAGAAAATTCGCATGTCACCCTTGGCCACTGTTGCTGGGGAAACTGCCTGCATTATAGAGAATGTCGTATTTGCAGACCTGCCGGGTGTTTCGTGCGGAAACACATCAGCAAGAAGTCGTCCAACAGGCGCACTTGCTGAGGCCCTGGCATGGTGAAGACGTCGCGCTTCTAGCGTGCCAACCATGGCATCCATCTGCGCCTGCAAGACGTTTATGTGGGGAACGGAAGCATTTCTCTTTCGTTCTGCCCCGCCTTGGAGCACGGAAGTGGCCCGTCACTAACAAAGTTGGAAGCACGCACCTATGAAAGGGGCAGGACCCTTCCGGCAGCACTCGCAAGCTTCCCATACGACGGGCTACAAGCATTTAGACTTTTGCCAGATCTCTCGACAGTCAGGACAGGCAGTAGCATGCGGTCAAGCGCACCTCCACCTGCGCATTGACCATTGGACTCCCTGTGTCATCCACGGCCCAAAGCCTTTGCGATCGATTTGGGAGACTGCCTGTTCCTCGGAAGCCACAGCAGACCGGCTGGAGATGAGATGCAACAGAGAAAATCAAAGAAACCCAGCTCAAGGATCCACTTCAGGAGCCCAAGCTTCCGATGAAGAAGCTTCTCATGTCCGTGGATAGCTCTCCGGAGACCCAAGCAGTGGGTGGAGGACTTGCAAAACGCACCTTCGAAGAGGCTCCAGTCATGAAACGAAAGTTGGCGAGTGAAGCCGATGGCCTCGACATGTTTATGAGTGGGGTGCCCACGTGCTGCAATAGAAGTTTGTATCTTCTGTTATTTGCTGTCGGAGTGGTTCCTCGGCCTTCCTGCTGGCCAAGGAACAGCCTTCAAACGAGGCTCGGGGGAAGGCACAGTCTTCAGCAGCGCAAACCTTTGGAAAGGAACACTTCAGATTGCAGGGACACACGGAACATGTCTCCTGTAGCGGGTCGTTGCAGCTAGGTGGCACGAAGAAAACGTATATCAAGGAGAAGGCAACGACATTCAAACAACGAACCTTATCGCATCCACTGAGAGCTGCAAAGCTTCATGAACTTGCACGGGCATCGGCAGCAAGTCGAGGACTGTTGCTTGCGGCCAGGACTCTCTAACTTTGTCTTCGACAAAGTCACTTATCGTGAAAAAGCATACCTGGCCACGCAGATCCACGCAGTTTTCTAATGTTCAGACTGCGCCGTTTGTGCGCGCGCAAGGGTGGCATAAGGGTGACCTTCATCCTGGACTCTGATCGAAAAGGAAAAGCTTCTATGGAATGCAGGACTGGGCCACACTATGAAAAAACAGCTTGAATGCTGATGAAGTTTGCTTTGCAGCTGCTTACCGCCGGCATGGCCACTAGCACTTGCTGCAAAAGGTGCTGCTTCTGTCGGCGATGCTTAAGTATCCTTATCCGAGACTCAACTCGCCTTTCTGCCACTCGCTCTGGCATGCAAGTGCCTTGTTCACACCCTGCGGCACATGGTGAGCTCCAAAAGCCTGGACACACTCGGGCACGGTCAGACTGCCACCTCCATGCCTACTGTGACAACCGGACTTTGCGGGTGGCATGTCGTCAGTCGAGGACAACCGCAAACACCATTGGCCTGTTGCTTCTGCTTTGGCTCCAGATCATCAGGAGCAACAGCCATGGGGCATATTAGCGTCTGAGGCTGCAGAAAGGCTGGCAACCACGTGCAAGGCATCGACACGGCAAGCATGCTGCGCGCACTGCTGTACTGCAGAAGTGTCTGGGGAACGAACTTTCGTCATTTTTGACTGCAGGTGACCTGGCGCAACTATCGAACCAAAGCGACTGCTGCACAAACAAAGGTAACGCAGGTGCATCAAAGCACCTCTGCACAAGCAACCTCGCAAGCCTCTCGACCTGGAAACGGTAAGCGGCTCATGAGCCAGCTCCGAAAGTCCGTGAGACTCCTAAACGAGTCTCCGACCAGTTCTGTTTCCGTGCCTCAGCTTGTCACGAGCCGGTGCCACAGAAAACGCTCGATAACCTCAGGCACCCGCCATCAGCCTGAAGTCCACAGGCTCGACACTCTGCCTGAAGGAGTCCCAGCGCACCTGAGAGCTCAGGCCAGGGCTTCAGCACTGGGCCTGAGCTCATGAGGCGTGCACTTCCCGGGTCTGCGTCCTCAAGACAGCATGTGCTACATCGCAGTGCAGTAGGTACAAGAACAAGCTCTCCTGTGCAGGTTCGAAGACACGGTGTGGGTCCGGATCTGTGACATACCCCGCATTCAGCCTCGAATCAGCACAGGGGCACAGAGGCAACATGGCAGTGGACTTCTCGAGGCCGCTGCCCATTCTGGCTCAGGTTCGCGTTTGCCCCACGATCTCCATGTTGGAAGCAGGCGTCCACAGGGTCTGACGAGCTCGAATCCCGCTCTGTCGATGCAGAGCCTGGACGATGCGGGCTGTGGGCCCACGACCACCGATGTCGCCCGGTGCCTTTTGCGGGTTTGTCACTGGCATTGAAGCGCGCGGCCTCGGCCATCACGGTCAACATTGTAACATGCCAATTGAGTTTGAAGCTACCCAGGTCCAGGCCAGTGCTACCTTGCTTCGCGAAGCCTGCCAATGAGTTTAAGCTCCTGAGTCTGTGGGCACGGGCACAATGCAATTTTTCTGATGCAGCCTTGCACGAAACACAGGCCAGCATAACTGCCGGGTCGTCGATATCTGCCCGTGCTTCGAGAAGAAGCTTGACCTCGTCATACAGAGCAGGCGGCAGCATGAACCGAGCAGGCGCATGCTCGGCACCAAACGATCGTCTGGGAATCATCAGCAGCTGAACCGACTAACGGCAGGTGGCCAAAAGCATCCGCCGAGGCTGGATGAGCAAGCACATGCTGGACCTCTTTAGTGCAGAAAGCGAAGCCAACGCAGACACAAAAATCCAGGAATATCCAAGGCTCCAGCTGCACTTTGGCCGCCCAGAAGCTCCACCTCAGGAAGCGCTTTGAGGCCTTCGCTCCTTCTACTGGAAATACACATCTCCTCCTTCCTCCGCCTTCCTCCCTTGGGTAAGCTGCGTACATGGTATGTCAGAGATGTCACTCCGCAATCTATGCACACT